GCATTTGGGGAGTGAAGCAGCAGGTAGAAGATCTCTCTCTATCTCTGTTTCACTGCCTTTCAAATGAATACAATTTAAAAGAATAAATAAATAAGAGTACCAGTTACACAGAAGGCAGACAGAGAGGAGGGAACACAGCCTTTGACAGTGAACACTAAAGCAAATGCCCCAGCACCCACACACACACAGTCCCCAAGGTACGTGGGAGTAGGGACAATGTTTAAGTCAGAGGTTCTAACCCATAACTCCTGGGGAGACATGTGAACTCAAGTAGACGCCAGGCCTCCTAAGTCTGACTCACACAGGAAGCATTCCGAGCGCAAGACAGAGGAAAACAAAGCTTAGCCACTCCCCACCCCAACTACGCTGCAACTCTCTGCTGATCTCTTTATGACCTACAAAGCTGTCTCTTGCATGTCTTCTGATGGTCAGGGTCTCTGCACCCGGTAGCTTTACTTCTGCCATGAACAATGTCATCACAAACACACTCAGCCAACTGCTGTCCATGGGTGCCTGTGGCCAGGCCCAGAGCTGTATAAAGAACACAGTGACCCCTCTAGCTCCTGCACTTCTACTGTCCCCCTGGAAACTCCAATTCTAGAAGAAATGAAGTAGCTGAGCAAGGCTTCTGATCACAGACTTCAAAGGGGCAAGATGCCTGGCTATTTTTCTCTCCATGAAGTTTTCCAAGAGTTGCGTAATTGAGAGATGCCTGTTACGCTGGCCCCGGGGACAGACCCAGAACAGAAAGAACACAGCCCACAGCATAGGTTGTCTTGGCTACAGGAGGCTCTATCAGCAGAGGCGCTATGAGCGACAGGACAGAGCTTCAGCAATGCTCACTTCCCTGCACACAGGGCAGGGTTAGCGTGCACCAGCCACCCACCCTTTCCTGGAATTGTTCTGACCTGCGACTTGGAGGGCTGGTGACCAGATGGAGGTGACCCATGACAGGAGTTCTCTCACTCAGATCTGTCTGCCTCCATAGCATGCCCCGTGTATGTGGTACACACTCAGGGAGTGCCCCTCATCTCCGCATGGTCCCCAGGATCCCACATGGCCCTGACTGGCAAGCAAGTTACTGTACCCTCTGGGTTCCAGGGGACAGGCTAAGCAAACACTCCACAGCCTCCCTTGCCTCCCAAGACTCCTTTAAAATGAGAGCAAAGAAATAAAAGCACTGACTTTGCAATCATAAAGCGAAAAGGAGATCAAAGCACCTGCAGAGTTCAATAAAATTCTGACAGAGGGAGCAGCAAATCATATTTTCAATTCTAATTATGTAGCACTTGCTTATTTGTTACAATTGACTTATGAAGGAAACAGCAGAGACTCATGTATACTTACGGAACAGCATGTGAATGTGTAAGAGTAAAGTGTAAGGAGAGATGTGAGAGCAGGAGTGGCAGAGGGAATGGCAGGACACCACACAGACGTTGCACTGCACTGTGGCGCAGTAGGTTAACCATCTGCCTGTGGGCACCGGCATTCCATGTGGCACCGGTTCGAGTCCCAGCTGCTCCTCTTCCATTCCCACTCGCTGCTAATGACCTGAGAAAGCAGTGGATGATAGCCCAAGTGCTTCGGAGACCCAGAAGATGCTCCTGGCTCCTGGCTAAGCTCTGGCCATTGAAGTCATTTAGGGAAAGAACCAGTGGATAGAAGACCTCTCTGTAACTCTACCTCTCAAATAAATAAATACAATCTTAAAAAAAAAAAAGGTTCAGTGTTTCATATCCTGAGTGCCAGGAGAGTCAAGAATGGGGTAAGATGGGGTCCACAAAACCCTTTTACTGAGAAAGACCTATGATTCTTGCAGACACACAGAAGTGGGTATGTCCACACCAGCTATGATGTGACTGTGTCCACCATGGGCTCTGATGGGGAGTGGGGAACGGGAGGAACCCAAGGAGGAATGGAGACCCCAAGGCTCTCTCCAGCCCCATGCCCTTCCGCACCCACTCGCCACGGCCCCAGCAGTTAGGCTGCTCTTTCTGCATCTGTCAAAACCTTACATCCATCCTAAATGCGTGCCTTCTGGACATAAGAATCATTTGTTGTGGATCAAAATTTAAATAGAAGAACTGAGAAGGACACACAGCAGAGCACAAGAACCTTCCTGGGTGGGGGGGATTACAATGCATCTGAGCTCTGCCTACTGGGCAGCCTTTCCTGTGAGAGTAGCAAGTTGAAATTTCCCAGGGACACCCAGCACCCCTCCTCCCTTCAGATCTAAGTCTGAAATGATGACAAAATCCCCAGGTTAACAGGCAGATCTTGTGTGGACAGTGGTTTGAATATAGTGACTGTAACAAAGAAGACACTTGGATAATTTACTGAATATCTGACAATATTAATGAATTATTTTAAGAGGGAAGGAGTGATGGGAAAATACAATTTGTAAAAGGTTTACCCCCCACTCCATTTAATGGAAAGAATTGAGAAAATAGAATCCTGGTTCTACCCCCCAATTAACTGTGTGATCCTGGGCAAGTTTTTCAATCTGTCTCTGATCTTGGGTGCTTCCATGTGAATCAGGGATCACCTTCTAAGAACTACTGTGAGGAATCAGTAACATGAATTGTACAGAATGCCCAGGGCAGTGCCAGTTCATAGCAACTGCTCTATACCTTTCAAGTTCTCAGTCAACTCTTCAATATCACTGTCTATCTGCACATTACCATGATTTGTTCTGACAATATTTAATTCACACTTGCACCACACTACCTGTTTACTACACTTTACATTAGCCCTAAAGAATAGCTCATTAATAAACACAGGATAACATCTACACCTAAGATCTATTTTCTCAAACTCAGCAGGTGAAACTAGGTAAATAAAGACCAGCTGGTAAGGAGAAAACTAATTTGGTTTCAGACTGTTAAAGTAAAACCTTCCATGACGAGTTTTACATTCATCCAAGTCAATCTGAAAGAATTCAAAAATACTTCTGTAACATTATTTCCCAGACCCGTCCAGGCACTTAAATTTAAGCAATATGCAACAGAATCTTCATCTTTTTATCCAATATTAAGATAACTGATGAGATTATTTAGCAGCATCCCTGTTGGTTCAGTATCCACTGAGGCATGTTATGATTGTGGGTAGAAGGACAACAGTAACAGGTGTCCCCAGAGGATATAGAAAAACATGTGATTACAAGACCACAAGAGATCCTGTGGCCAGGTGTCACTCCTCTTTGAACACTGATGGTTCCAAGCATTGTATTTTCCCAGCACAGGCGGATCCGTTGAGCATACATTTGTGCAGACCTGTAGTAGGGCTACGTGGTGGTGCTCATCTTGTCTACTGCACTGGTAACCATACCACCTTTGAAATTCTCCCCTCAAAACAAAACACCAAGCTGCTCTTCCATGTAGATTGGTGCCTGACTCCACAGAGAGCTAGGGGAAGTCCCTGGGATCAGAACAGGACTTGAACAAGTTCCTGGCTTACCTGTATCTAGGTTTCCAGGAGATGAAGCATGATGCACAGGTGGTCTTTGATGGTATAAAGTACACAACAAAACCAATTCTTTAAGTCACATGTGAAGTTAGACAAAGGGATTAACAGAACATCTACATTCATTCGCCTGTTGCAGATATTTAGGGACCAGCCACTATGTGCCAGGCTGGGAGTCCAGGGTTTGAGGTACAAAACTGAGTAAGACATTGTCCTTTCCCATGGTACAGTTGAAGGATGTAGGGAAAACACTCGCTACCATGAAGAAACTGGTCTCAACACAGGATAGTGACCACACACTGCAAGTAGGTCTTGGTGCTGCTTAGCAATTGTACTACATTACCCTATTGCACCTACTATCCTATTGCTTTGGTGACCTTTTCCATTACAAAATTGTTTGGATCAGCATGAACTACCTCCAACCTGAAGCCTAGATGCATATGAATAAATGCCAACTTGACATCCCGTCTGAGTGTCTAACAACCCTATCAGGTTCAAGACAGCAAAGCCAGAACCCTCATCTTCCCCTCATTACCAGCTACCTTGCTCCTCTGTCTTCTCCCAGTGAATGCCAACTTCATTCTCAAGTTGCCCAACCTAAGAGCCTCGGGTCCTCCCCGACTGCTTCTGTTTTATATTCCAAGAACCAAATATGGAAATGCAGAATTATGCAAAGCTCTAAGTCACACCTATACCCACTCAGTGTCAAACTGGTAAATCTGGGGTGTGTGCTCAGTACAGTGGTTAAGATGTCACTGAAGATGCCTGCATCCCATATTGCAGTGTCTGCGTCTAAGTCCTGGCTCCACTTCCCATCCAGATTCTTGCTATTGTGCAAGCTAGGAGACAGCAGGTGAGGGCTCAGGTGGCAGGGATCCCACTACCTGAGCACTCACCTGTGGCCTCCCAGGCTGTGAATAGCAGGAGGCTGGAATAGCGAGTACAGCTATGACTCAAACCCAAACGCTCCACCATGGGATGCCGAGTCTCAACTGCTATGCCAAATGCCCCCCTCATTTCTTCTCCAGTAAAATGAGGAAGGAAGTGTTAGGTCAGGTGATCACAGCCCAAACCAATCCCAGGTTCCTCGTACCAATCTTCAGAGCTCCTTCTCTCTACCATAGCAGATGAGAGTTCTAACAGGAGACCATGTCTGGGCCTCATTCTCAGAAAAATACTGTGCACATAATGCCTTTGTTATTCTTCACCAAAGTAACAAAATGGCCACAAGAAGCAAACTGCCCAGTAAGAGCAGACCAGGAGCAAGCTCAAATCAGTCATCTTCACCACCAACTCCACCCACTCCACAGCTCTTAACTTACATGAGAGCGCCAACAAAATCCTGACCAGGAGTGTCAAGTCATCACTCTGAACCGACATCACGATGCCCAGCTTTGAAGCTCGCAAAGGGCAGGACATTCCCGTACATTCAAGTGTGTGTTTAGGTGACACGAAGACTTCTACACTCAGGGCCAGCAGCAGACGACATTTTCAGGAGCCCGTTTTGCTGTTCCCTGCTGGGCAACAGAGGCACTCACCTGAGTCGTTCTTCCTCTTTCTTGCGAAGATTGAAGTCTCTCTGAACCACCTGGAGAACATGTTCAGTTTCATCGTCAGTCAAACCGGACAGATCCAGCTTCCGCCCCATGGTTCATAAGACCTGGGAGACAGAAGGAGAGACCTCAGATTGAAGATCAGATACAAGCTCTAGAAGGACAAAAATCAACCCACTGTAATTAAAACAGAATTAAAAACAATGTTGATATATGACAGTATCTCTCTGTACCCATACTCAGCAAACATTTACAGATGCATTTAGCAAGGCTGCAGGGGAAAAGAAAAATGAGCATCTGCCAGTTTCATCATCCCGACTCTCAAAATAAGAGCAAAGTTATTCTTTTCACCAAAATGAACCAAACAGAAGACTTTGTTTAGATTTCCATAAAACATCAAAACGCAATATTCAAAATTTCTCAATTTCTAGAGTTTGACGTTTTAAATTCTAAACATTATATGCAAGAAAAAAATTACAATTTTTAAAAAGTTTTTTTTTTATGTTTTATTTATTTGAAAGACAGAGTTACAGAGAGAAGTAGAGATAGAGAGAGAGGTCCTCCATCCGCTGGTTCATCCCCCAGATGGCCACAACAGCTGGAGCTGCACTGATCAGAAGCCAGGAGCCAGGAGCTTCTTCCAGGTCTCTCGCCTGGGTGCAGGGGCCCAAGGACTTGGGCCATCTTCTACTGCTTTCCCAGGCCATAGCAGAGAGCTGGATCAGAAGTGGAGCAGCCGGGACTAGAATCAGCGGCCATGTGGGATGCAGGTGCTTCAGGCCAGGGCTTTAATCCACTTCACCACAGTGCCGGCCCCCAAAATTACAGTTTTTTAAAAAATCTGATATATACTATATGTCTTAAAGTTTTAATCATATGGCTGTAAAATAAGAACTAGAAGTCAATAAACTTTTCTGCAAAATAAAAAAGTAAATAAAATGCTCTTTAGTCATGTTCTCAGTAGTAGAAAAGGTATGTCAGAGAAATATCTTAGTAATGCACATCAAAAATTACAGGAAACTGTATCTTTCAAAAATATGTATTTATTTTAATTAAGAGAGATACAGGAGAGAGAGATACACACACATACAAAAGGGGGTGGGGAGAGAGAGAGGAATGAAGGGCATGGAGAGAGAGAGAGAGAGAGAGAGAGAGAGAGAATATCTTCCATCTGCTGGTTCACTCCCCAAATGGCTTCAACAGCCAGGGCTGGACCACATCGATGCCAGGAGCCTGGAACTCCATCCCAGTCTCCCACATGGGTGTCAGGGGCCCTAGTACTTGAGCCATGTACTGATGATTTCCCAGGCACATCAGCAGGGAGCTGAATTGGAAGTTGAGCAGCCAGGCTTCAACCAGGGCTCATGTGGGGTTTTGCTGGCATTGCAGGCAACAGCTTAAGTCACTGTACCACAACGACAGCCCAGAAACCATGTTTTTAAAAATCATTTTAGGCCAGCGCCGCAGCTCACTAGGCTAATCCTCCGCCTTGCGGCACCGGCACACCGGGTTCTAGTCCCGGTCAGGGCGCCGGATTCTGTCCCAGTTGCCCCTCTTCCAGGCCAGCTCTCTGCTGTGGCCAGGGAGTACAGTGGAGGATGGCCCAATTACTTGGGCCCTGCACCCCATAGGAGACCAGGAGAAGTACCTGGCTCCTGGCTTCGGATAAGCGCGGTGCGCCGGCCGCAGTGCGCTAGCTGCGGCGGCCATTGGAGGGTGAACCAACGGCAAAGGAAGACCTTTCTCTCTGTCTCTCTCACTGTCCACTCTGCCTGTCAAAAAAAAAAAAAGTCATTTTAATGAATGGTTGTGCCCATTCATAAACATAAATGTAAGCAACCTCAAGAATCTATTAGTGAAATTAATCCAGCATGATAAAGTATGTACCAAGATAAAATGGAGTTGGTCTAAGTGATTTAAGGTTGACTCATCAGTCAACAATCATGTACACCACATTAAAATAAAAGTGGAAACTATTATGATCACTTCAACAGACACAGAAGAAGCATTTGACAAAATACAATACCCATTCCTTAGAGAAACACTAAAATCAAACACTACAAGGGAACATTCTCAGTCATATAAAACTATTTCTATTTAAAGTAATTAATAATTTATACAGGGACACGTGATATATGACAGATCTGGCTTTGAGTTCAGAGGAGTTCTGGTATTGGACATCTGGTAAACAATAAGTCGAATCAGTAACTCAACATACACACATGCAAAAATCAATTTCAAATCAATTTCAAAGGATACCACAAAAAGAGAGAAAAACAATCCAAAAACTGGAAACAAATATTTGCAACAGAAATAATTGGCATAGGATTCATATTCAGACTATAGAAAGAGTTTCCACAATTAAAACATAAAAAGACAAGCAATGGTCAAACAACAGGCAAAAGATTTGAACAGGCATAGAAAAGAAACAGAAAATGAAAAACACTCAGAATCATGCTCAATGTCATTAGTAATTACAGAACTGCAACTTAAAGGCAAACTTCATATCACTAAAATAAAAATTCAAATCAAACGTTGGCAGGAGGTAAACAATGGCATCTTTCATATGGGGATGTAGATTGGCAAAATCTTTGCAAAGCAATCAGGTTTCATTTGTAAAGCTAGAGATGAATGTACTTTAGGAACCAGCATTTTTGCCACATATATATTCCTCAGATACAACTGTGAAAATATACACCAAGAGATAGAAACTGGTTTGAATCAAGTAAAATCATATTGATTTATAAAATGCTAATTTCACATAGTTCAGCCTAACAGGAGAATTTCCATAACAATCATCTTCAAAATAGCAAAAAATAAATCCTGGAGGCAATCTCAAACATCCATAAATAGGAATAAAGATAAAACATACAATGCATTTCTTCTGTCTAATGGAATACTCCACCACTGTGACAAAGAACACACAACAGGTACAGTCGTCAACATGGGTGTCCCTAAAACCGTAGAGACAGGGAAACACACCACACGGGCAGAAAACATGTACAGCATCAACACAGTATGGTTCTTCCTACACACAGGTTCAAAATCATAAGAACTCAAAGAATATGTACTTTTAGGAATAAAGGCAACAAAACCTTGAAGAAGAAAGTGAGAGAGAGTAGAGAGAAGACATTACAGGGGATACAAACAGGGGTTTCAAAGATATCAGTAACATTCCAGCCCACTGGAAAGAGTGGTGTTGCTACTACTGCTTCTCCTTATTGTTATTAATCATTTAAGGTACTTCATACGGTATCTTTCACAAGCATATAAGGTAAAATAAACCCAAAGCTAAACAAAAATAATCTAGTGGATACAACTCATAATTAAAACAAGTATTTAAAACATTGTTCCCAAGATTTTAACCACTATTGAATTTTTTTTTTTTTTTGACAGGCAGAGTGGACATGAGAGAGAGAGAGACAGAGAGAAAGGTCTTCCTTTGCTGTTGGTTCACCCTCCAATGGCCGCCGCGGACGGTGCACCACGCTGATCCGATGGCAGGAGCCAGGTGCTTTTCCTGGTCTCCCATGGGGTGCAGGGCCCAAGCACTTGGGCCATCCTCCACTGCACTCCCTGGCCACAGCAGAGAGCTGGCCTGGAAGAGGGGCAACTGGGACAGAATATGGCACCCTGACCGGGACTAGAACCCAGTGTGCCGGTCCTGCAAGGCGGAGGATTAGCCTAGTGAGCCGCGGTGCCGGCCCACTATTGAATTCTTACTATGTTCAGATCCTTTTTCATATATATGTGTAGGAAATACATATATTCAGATCTATTTTCTAATTCCCATGAAACCCTATAGGCAATCACTTCCAGATCCAGCGGAAACCACTTACAGGTGAGAAAAGTCAATTCCACAGTTACATATTCCAAGACCATGGCAAGCCAGAGTGTGCGTCTCAGTCTGACTCGGATTCACACCTGTGCATGATATGTACACACCTCCCGTAAGATGCAAAGGCTGACTGTGAATCTTGGGCCTAAAAACTTGGTGTCTGCAGTTTCCTACCCTCTTTCAAGCAACACACAACAACTACACACTGCAGAGTCCATTTCTTGGTTGCTATTTAAACAAATACTGTCTCCTTTTCTACTGACAGTTAACAGCCATGGATTTAAAGGACAGAATAGCGTCTGTATTTCAAAGCTTTTTCCCAAATGGATTAAATATGTCTGTATGATACAAACTAATCTCAAGATGTAACTAGAAAATCACAACAGGAACTATTTTTTAAAGGAAGCATTTTTTTTCACTGTTGGGAGTTGGGGCGGGGGTGGGGTACCTAGTGCACCTGCTGATCAGCTGAAGTAAATTAGAAGAATCCATCCTTAGGCTGCAAAGATAAAGGGAGGGGCTCCGAAGTCCATGTTCAAGCCTCCCGATAGGCAGGAATAAAACAGACTAGACAGCAAAAGGAAACTGCAGCCTGGCTTCTTCCTTTCAAATACCCCATTAGACATGGTAAGGACACTTGTGGGTTTCCCAGAAACTGCTCTGCCTGTCCCTTTAACTTCCCTGCTGGCTTTTCATTTCTGAGAATTCTAATGAGCGTCCAAGAGTCTCGGTTAGTGGAAGAAGACCAGCTCTGGTCCCACCAAACCTGAAAAGGACCCATCAAGGCTGCAGGAGGAGAAAGGATTTCCGCCAAGTAGCTCTAAATGGACAAGACAGAACATAGAGAGAAAACCGGGAAATGGTCAAAGTTTCTTCCTTTCCCATAATAAACACAATTAGATCTGGGCTACGAGAGAACAGCATCACAGAGCTGGAGAAGCATCAGTGCCCATGAGTCGGAGAGGGAAGGAACCTCTCGTTTGAGGGTGAGACAGTGCAAGCCCAGGAGCGGGATGTAGATGCCCATCATCCCGGGCAGCTCAGCTGCTCCAACCTTTCCATCAGTGCTCCCATTCCTTGGTTTCTCAGCTTCCATCCAAACAGCATGGCAACAGAGAGAACACATTATAAAATTCATTGCTGATAAAATTAATATGGCGTCAACATTTAATTAGATCACCATTTCCCACAAGTGTGTTTCGCAGGTTACTGTTCTACAAAAAGCAGTCTGAGAGTAAGAGGCTCTGTGGTCTAATCAATCTGAGAAAT